GCAGTTTTCCTGGTGGTTGGAGGATAATACAAGACTTCTTCACCTTACAAATGGTTTTTGAAAGCAAAAATGCTACGAAATGCACATATTTTTTGAGAAAATATGATGTGCTAGATATTATTTTTAGAATCAGCACCCCAAAATTAGCAAAAGAAAAAAAAACAAGTATTGAATTTCATTCAGCAAATGCAGGACAGTGTAATCAGCGCCAACTTCAAACTTCAGCATTATTTAACAAACCAAACCAATTACATAAAAATTAAAAAAAAAAAAAAATCAACCAGGAATTCAGAGACTGACTTCTACCGTGCGGTTTTACCTGGTGAAAACCGGGTGTGCTCTCTGATCCAAGACAATAATAATGTCTCCAGGTTCAAGGCCAGGCTCCTGGTCGCCCTCCCCATGGAACACTATTTTCTGACCATCTTTCATACCTGCAATAACACATAATCAAGCATAAATAAAAGTAACAGACTGCAGAGAACAGATGTTTTGGACTGAACCTATCACTTTCAAACCTTTATTAATGTGCACATCAAGAATCTTCTTCTGTCGTAGTATCTTGCGACCAGCGCATGTTTTGCAGCGGTCGCGGTGACCAAGTCGCTGACCTTGCCCCTGACAGCCGGAACAGACTGTTGATATCTGCTGCACCATGCCAGGAGCTAAGTGATGTAGTCTGACCTGGACACCCACCCCACGACACAAAGGACACACTTCTATCACTCCTTTACGCCCTCCACGACCTGTAGTACAAAATTCAGTAAAAAAAACCAAAAAACCCGGTTATAAAAAAAAATCCAACTATTGCATTTGAAATACTTAAGCAGCACAACTGTTTTCAACTTAGGGATGCAGCGATTAACCAGTTTCACAATTAACCACGCATTAAAATGTCACGGTTAATTAATCGTAAAGGCTCCGCTACACCAAGTGTTTCTGTTGCACAGAACGGAACAGTTGCAATGTGCGCAAAACGAAAACAAAGTTACACTAGTGGTGCACCAGCTTTAAATGCTGTGCTTATCAGAGACACGGAGGCTACTACACACACTAGATTAACTATGACAGACGAACCAAACAGCGATCCTTTATTTACACCACGACGTGAAGGCAAGACTGATGCAAAGCTATGGCTCGTTAGCTCAGTATTCTGTCCACTTCAGATCAGACAGATGAACTAGTGTGGTAAGATCACATTTATTTGAATTAATTAATTATAACATTTAGCTACTTGATTTAATTATTCGATCGAGAGAGAGGGAGAGATAGAGAAGTGTGTGTGTATGTGTGTGAACCTGCATCAGCGCGTCTCTCTACAAACATGTGAGTTTAGTTACTTAAACAGTGATTTTACCCTCTCCTTGCTGATGAATATGTAGCAATTCAGTATCTAAGCTATTTTATTAATAAAATTCAAGGGGCAGGGTTCACAACAAGTTTGTGTCCTCGTGAATGTTTGCATGTGTGCGCAGCACAATCTCCGATCTCACAAACCAAAATAATAGACATGATTTTCTCAGGCCACATGTAAAATCATATGAATTATTATAAAAATTATTAAAATGAATACGTATGGATGACAGTTGATTACAATGATAGTTCAGTATTAATAGTCTGTGGGATAAATAAAGTTAATTGTCCTATATTAATAATACTTATTAACATTGTTATCTATAATCCCTTTTATAGTATTATGCATAAGTCAAAAACCAACAAGATTTTTTTTTTCACCATGTTTCCAGTTTTCTGCCTCGGGTCCAAAAGAAATGTAAAGAATGTACAAACTGAAAACACTAAATACTTTTGTGATCTATTTTCATTAGTTATTTTCAAAATGGAAATACTGACATGGATGTTTACAGAGCAGAGGTCACCTTTTTAATTCCAATTGGAGAGATGGAATTTTGTTTGTCTTTATTATTATTATTTTGTGCTGTATTATTGGTTACTGTGTTATTTCTCTTTCTAAAGGCAGCAATAAATAACACTTTATTATCTAATGAGTGTCCATGTGATTTTATACATTAATAATTTTGTGAAATGAATAAATGCATAATAATCGTCCTAATCGTGAAACCGTGATTATTCCTCAGACAATAATCGTACCAACAAAATCTATAATCGTTGCATCCCTATTTCAACTGTGAAAATAATAAAAAGAAATCTTACCAATTCCAAATTTTTTTGTATGGTAGTGTAAAATATATAGTAATATAATAAAGTTCATAAAATGGCCCCTTGTCAGTCAATTATTACCTTCACACTTGTCACAGATTACATTCTTCTGGACAGCAAGTTTCCTGGTGGCTCCATTATAAAGGTCCTCCAAAGACACGGTCAACTGATGCACCACGTTTTTTCCTGTGTACAGCAACCACAAACTTTTACTATTGACTTTTTTCACATTTCCGGGTTTCTCAGCAGCAGAAGTCGTCATAGTTGGGTAAACTTCTACAGCAGTGAATGGGAGACTACCACAAATATGTTGTTTAAATTCCCATTTTCTCAAATAGCAAAAGAAAAACTCCAGGATAGTGTTTTCATGACTTTCAAAAAAGGATAAAAATCGAGAGAGACTAATACCGGCAGTCAGTAGAGAGAACGATGTCAAATTTACCGTCACTCCCATAGACGCTGTGTTAGAAACACCCTTGCATTAGCGTTAACTAGTTTTTTTTGTAATTTGATGCAAAGGTAATATAATACAAAGTATAGTGTTATAAATGTACATACATTTATAAAAAAAAAAATGAAAATACAAAAAAGCTTTGGAGGATTTACGATGCTGGTGACCGTTGAAACGCATGATCACAGTCTTGTGAAAAGGGTCCATAAGACTAGTAATAATTTATGAATTATTCAAAGTGCAACGCATGTATGTCAGCCTATTAGAACATTCGATCTCCTTGAGAAGTGTAAACAAACGTTGCAAATGGGAAAATCTGGGAAAAATGAAATTAAAATGTACACGTTTTACAAAAAAAAAAAACCTTCATATATACATATTTTGTACTGTTTTAGGTTACTAAACGTGTCAACTGAAAAAGGTGATTCCTTTGAAAAACAAGCTGTTCCATTCACAAATCAGGTTCTGCACAAACTGTGGAGTCTGTAGCTAAGAAAGATATGTATTTACCTCTCCTCTCCCTGTGCATGCGTCCCCCTCCTCCAAAGAACAAGTCAAAAATGTCCATGGGGGAGCCGAAACTTGGCCCTCCATTTCCTCCCTCCTTAATTGCCTTCTCACCCCCTCTGTCATACACTTCTCTCTTCTTGGCATCTGACAAAACCTCGTATGCTTGGGAGATCTGTTTGAACTGGAAATACAAAAAAAAGTGAGGAGGACATAAAATTTTAACTCAATCTTCAACCTTTGAAACCACCCAGATGATCCATAAACTGAAATATAAATCCAAATTATAGAATCACTCAAATATAAGGGAAATATTAGGGAATGTATACTTAATACTAGACATTGATAATGTATTCTAATGAATGACATTTTGAGGTCTTACCCTTTCCCCCTCTGTTGGATTTTTATCTGGGTGATATTTCAGTGCCAGTTTACGATAAGCCTTCTTCAGCTCTTCAGGGCTGGCATCAGGCTCCACACCCAGCATATCATAAAATCCAGTCTCTTTCACCATAGTTGCCCCGAACAGGTTAATATAGTCTGAAGAAACATTTCAAAAATACTTGATACTTGACCGCTGGATAATTATGTCATTAGTATTAACCGTGTGAGAATTACTCTAAAACGTGCCCATATTCTCAGTTAGTAAAACTAAATTAAAATGACATTAAAGCCCCCATAACATTCACACAGATTTAACTTGAACAACCAGATTAAAATAATAAGTCCTTGGCTGTGTTAAAAGGTTTTAAGTGGTGATTTCAAAATCACGCGACATTAAATGTCAAGCTATACTGTGTCTGTTACTAAAAGCCAGCATTTTAGAGAAAAACAAACAGGTAAAAATAAAGAAAACAAAGACCACAGTCACTTTATTCATGCCATAGCATTTTATTTTTAACAAATCGTCCAATACCGTGAAATATGGCGAAATCCCTTCTCGTCTTATGACTCCGCGGGTCAAACAAACAAGAGACTTCCAGAATCTTCCAGCAGCGCTCTACATCTTCTTCTTGTGGCGCATTATTGAACTTTGATTGCAGTGCGACCTATTTCTGCCACCTACTGTACGTAGTGACGTATGACAGGCAGCTGCGAGCAGCGTGTTTCCGTCGACAGCAGCTCATTTGATCAGCGTTTCAATTACTCTCACTGTTTCAGAAAGGCGGGGCATAGAGGAGAAACAATAATGTACAGTATGTGGAAAATAATGTGTTTTTTGAACTTTAAACCGCATAAACACATTTCATTACACCAAATACACAAAAGAATGTTCTTTTTAGCAGCATCATATGACCCCTTTAACATGTTGCCGTCTACAGCAGCTAATTTCGTCAGTATTTCAATAACTCTCCCTGGGCGACGATTTTCTTTCGTCTTTCATATTATTTATATAGATACTAGCGCTTAGTTCACAAATTACGGTTTATAATCATAACGTAAAAAAATGACTTTATTATAATGTTGCGCGTCTCTTGAATTCATTAGATAGCTTTTTACTTTAAGCCATCAAACCCAGCTACCAGACTCCACTCTTTGCAAAAGGATCACTCGCCCGAACAGGGACTTGAACCCTGGACCCTCAGATTAAAAGTCTGATGCTCTACCGACTGAGCTATCCGGGCTCTGAACGGCTGAGCTGTTGTAGCGACATCTATTTCCTGCACTAAACTCATTAGGCATTAGAGAAAATAGCCAAGTAACATAGATTATTTTATGTTTTTAAAACGTGCCAATATGGAAGGTTCCCAACGAAGGCGCGAAAACTCGAAGGTTTTGTGCCTGAATAACTGGTTTTCAAAAGAATGTTTTATAATGTGATGATATATAAATCCCAACGCTATAAACGCAGTCAGATTCGGCAGGCTCCATAGCTCAGCGGTTAGAGCACTGGGCTTGTAAACCAGGAGTCGCGAGTTCAAATCTCGCTGGGGCCTCATATACACTTTGTGCCGCCGATTCTACTTAGAGACTATAAACGGCATTTACGAATCCAAAAGTTTACACCAATTTAATATTAATCAGTTTGGTTTTGTTATTTGTATTAAGGATATCCTACCGCCAATGCTTCTGTAATCTGTCATTTCAGACAAGGTCTGCATCCTACATCACTGCACTGTGTCATCTGTTTATAAATTATATTTTTAAGAGTCCAACAGGCTATTTTAACAACTATTTTCTGTGGCGAAAATTCCTGGTTCCCTAAATGAACGACAGATGGCACTTCGACGTAGATGTCGACCTTCAAGAACCAAAGATCATTGTGAGAGCGCTTTAGCTTCCACTGCCTGCGGCATGTTTTGTACATCTCTGTCTATCACAGCAATTATGAGATGCAGAAAATGAATTGAATATTTCCCTCCTGTGTTTGAAAATGTGACCATGTTCTCAACAGATAGATTCCAATAATTTTAATACTAGCCAATAGGAAATATTATTACATGCAATGCATTGTTTCATGGCACTTTTTTTGGTGTTGATGACTTGATTCCAGTGTTTATTCTTAGGTTTTAAAACATTAATTGCGCAACAGAATACTCTACTTGTGTTTATAATAACAAAACATAGATACAAAACATACTTACCAGCAGTAGTTTCACTAAGTTAACATGACTCTGGTCTGGCTTATATGCTTTAATTTATTTTAGTCTCTTGTATGAAAACGTTTTGTATAAAACAAATGCATGTTTCGGTGATGTTCTTTGTCTTATGTTTTATCATATTTAGTGATAACGTTACATAGAATTCAACAGTCTACAACTTAAACTACGCTTAAATTAGGGCAGTTTCTCATTTATGCAGTTATCTATTAATTTATTTTCCGTTCCGTTGCTAAACAAACCCATATTGGTTGCTCACCAGCAAACTACATGAAAAAACATGACCAACCAAACAGGTTTCGGCATCCGTGGTGCGTTAAAGCAGCAACGCCAGATTTGTGAACGAATCATTCCTTGTTCGCGAATCGAACTGAATCGGTTCGAGCGGTTCTCAAACCAGCTCAGCGGTTTATTGGACCGAGAACCGTGGCTGTAGACTGATTTCGGAATAGCAGCATACTGCTTTCATACTTAATAAAAATATGGAATACGACTAAGAGCGATTATGCTAGCATGCTATTATGATATTCCGAAATCAGTCCATCTCTTTAATATTTGGACATTTAAACCACACTGTGACGACATAAAAAAAAAATCACATGCTGAGTTCAGAACAACATACTAGCATACTACTATTACTATGACAGATCGCTGTAGCGCCTCAGTTCAACAGACGCGGCAGCACGAGGCACTCGTGAACTGATCATCTCCTCCACATTAATAACAGTTTCAGCACAAAATAAGCATGACTAAACACCCGAAGGTAAGTTAAAAGAAAGAGTACAACTTTACAATCCATGTCCTGTCTCATGTAATCTCTCAATCAGTGTTTCAACTGTGCAAAGACGTCAAGACGGCGTTTTATGTTTACGCGGCGCGATGCAATGCGTAAAAATACATTATAATCCGTAATTATGTCCCCACTGGATGCAACAAATACCTAGTTTATAATGGGGTTTAATGTTTTTGTCTCATCGCTCCGGGACAGGGCATCACAGTATGGTAAGGGGCGTAACATTTCCGTCACACGCTTGAGGTATTCGGCCAATCACAACGCACTGGATAGCTGGCCAATCAGCGTACACCTCGCTTTTCTTACCGATGAGCTTTGTAAAAATCGACGCGTTTCAGAAAGGCGGGGCATAGAGGAGAAACAATAATGTACAGTATGTGGAAAATAATGTTTTTTGAACCTTAAACCGCATTAACACATTTCATTACACCAAATACACAAAATAATGTTCTTTTTAGCAACATCATATGACCCCTTTAATTTCTGTTTGAATAAATCCATCAAGTTTTTATGACAGCCACCATTATGTTTATATTTCAAAAAACGAATTGAAGTAGAAATATTATTACGGTGTGTAATTGTAACTTTATTATTTAAAAAACTTCATTAAGTGTAATTTTAACAAATCAGTCAATTTTAACCTTCAATATTATAATAATGTAGTGTCAACTGACTCTCATGTCTATTTTACAGCATTAGTTGAGAGATATTTTTTCCTTGAGAAAATTTGGCATGTACTGTACCTGATCTATATCCAAAATAATCTATATTGAATCGAATCGAATCGCAAGCTTGTGAATTCGAATCGAATCGAATCGTGAAATTTGTGTCAAAACCCAGCCCTAGTAGTTTCAACTCTGGGCCCTTGGGGTGCCGTCAGTTACTCTGTTTTCTATTGCAGTCTGGAGATTAGTATAACACACACACACACACACACACACACATAGGGCAGGATTGTGTTTCACCTCATCCAATGACTCTCACATGGTTAGGCTGAAGAGTTGAGGGAATGCTATAGTTTCTTTCTGGCTGACCATTCTGTGAATCATTTCTGTTGGTATCACTCCCTCCCATAAACACACACACACCTACCACTAGTCAAATAATAATTAATATATTTTTTAATGTTTTTGAAATAAGTCTCTTACGCTCACCAAGGTTTAGGGCTGGACCAGATTATTCGATTATTCGTTCGGTGGTTTGAGATTCGATTTTCAATTTTGAGATTAGAATATTCTTTTCTTTTCTTTTTTCGAACACCTGGCATCCCCTGTGAAACGGTTCTCATTCGCGCTTGAATATGAATCGCCCATGTGTGAACGTCATGAACATCATGATTCAGTGCATCTGGAAGAGAAGACAAAAATGCCGAAGATCTAAGCTGTGTGGGAGCACTTTAAATTGAGCGAGGACAAGACAAACGCAGTGTGCCAAATATGCGATTTGAAACTGGCCTACCACAACAGCACATCAACTTTGAAAAATCAGTTCTGTTAGTAGTACGACTATAGTATATTGTTGGTGTAAAAAAAAAAAAGGAGCTGCTTTTATCTGCCATGTTAGTAATTTTACACATGATAAAAACGTGCACTTAATTTGCTTGGAAAATACTTGCGAATACGGCAGTCATAAAAAAACGTACAGTAGCCCAGCCTAATAATAATTTTTCTATATTAAAAGTATTGCTCTTAACAGACCTTTGTGTTTTGTATCACTAGTGCAGTGTCCGTTCTCGGAGCATGTAAGCCCTGCCTGCGTGAGGCGCGCCGCTTCCGGATCGCACTGTTCTGTAGTTTATTAAGTTTATTAATTCTGAACGTGTCGCGTGTCCATATTGCACCAAAATGCGACACTGCACTCACTTGGGTCCGCAGCAACACACTCGCCACGCGTGAAGTCGATTAGATAAACGGTTCTCGACATAATAGAAATGTAAACAGACACACAGAGGATCCTGCCTTTATTACACCATGTCTACACTTACATTAAGTCTGTCTACACTGGACGCGAAAAAGCGACCGTTGAAAATCATTTGAAATTTGTGTCAATACGTCATAAATAGAACACAGCAGCAGTTTTCTGTCGGGAATTTGTTGTGTCGCGAAGCGCCACATCCAGTGTAGACCGCATCACTGATTATAATGAGTTCTATAGTATTTTGTCGCACCGCGCCGTTCGAATCCGTTGTAGACACTGTGTTAAGAGAGAAGAATATGTTCAGCCCCCTTCCTCTGAAGCTTCGAATATTCGGTGTTGATTACTACCGAAGCTTCTTAGCTCAAAAAATTGTATTTGGACCAGTCCTACCAAGGCTGCTTTTTTTTTTAAATCAAAGCCCTACCAAGGCTGCATTTTTTTTAATCAAAGTTTTTCACAGTGTAATAGCAATATTGTAAAATATTACTACAATTTAAAATAACTGCTTTCTATTTTTATATATTTTAAAATGTAATTTATTTCTGTGCTGACAAAACATTTTTTTCAGTGTCACATGAATTTGTATCAATAATTATAGAGTGGGGGAACTATGACGTCAGAATCCGGAAGAGTAATTCGCTGTGGGTTCCTTCGAGATTTTCCTATGGGGTTTTATAATGGGGTTTTTCAATTAATGAGTAAAATAAAGCTTGTGGTAAACATAACTTGGCGATACTTTTACGTTTTGTTCTATAGCTTAAATTACACGCATACCCAAAACACAAAAAAGGAACCTGCGGCGAATTACACTTCCGGATTCTGACGTCATAGTTCCCCCACTCTATTGGTGCTCAATTATGGTTCTTCTTATTATTGTTCTAATTATTATCAATGTTTTTGCTGCTTAAAAAAATTTTTTTTTTTAAATACTGAGAAACTGATACGTTTTGTTTTTCAGGATTCTTTGAGTAGAAAGTAAAAAAAAAATTTGGTTTCAACACCGATAATAAAAAGAAATGTTTCTTAAGCAACAAATCAGCATATTAGAATGATTTCTGAAGGATCATGTGACACTAAAGACTGGAGTAATGATGCTGAAAATTCAGCTCTGCCATTACAGAAATAAATTACATTTTAAAATCCATAAAATAGAAAGCAGTTGTTTTAAATTGTAATAATATTTCACAATATTAAGTTTTTTTTACTGTATTTTTAATCAAATAAATGCAGCCTTGGTGAGAGTAAGAGATTTTCAAAAAGTTAAAAAAATCTTAATAATTTAAAATTTCCTAGACTGGTAGAATAGTTGTTGAGCTTGCTTTCTGCTTGTGTTGCTTGAGTTGCAAACAACAGTTTGTCTTCCATCCTTATTGATTTTCAGCACTGAAAACCACTTATGGCCCCTTTTTCTTCCCTGCATCTACAACTCTCTCTCTCTCGCTCTCGCTTTTCTCCTTGGATTCATGTTATAAGGATCCTTTGTGTATTTTTACTGTATTTTTAATCAAATAAATGCAGCCTTGGTGAGAGTAAGAGATTTTCAAAAAGTTAAAAAAATCTGAATAATTTAAAATTTCCTAGACTGGTAGAATAGTTGTTGAGCTTGCTTTCTGCTTGTGTTGCTTGAGTTGCAAACAACAGTTTGTCTTCCATCCTTATTGATTTTCAGCACTGAAAACCACTTATGGCCCCCTTTTCTTCCCTGCATCTACAACTCTCTCTCTCGCTCTCGCTTTTCTCCTTGGATTCATGTTATAAGGATCCTTTGTGTACGTCCCTTTTGCTTAAGCCCAATGGGTTATGGGACACCCCCTGTGGTGCGAGGTGACCCCCGATTTGGGGGCCTCCTTACACCATTATGAGTGTATTAATTTTTTTGTTTTGTTAAATTTGTCTGGAGCAGACATTTTTACGTAGACTATAAATGTGTTTACACCGAAATCACAGTCACAGTTAACAATGTACCACGTGCTAGAATATTGTTTTATAATTGCATGTATCACAGCGAGCACGTAATGCATGCTTTTTGACATGAAAGTGTCTCTCTAAAAGAGGCTTTTCAAGTCCAACCGCTTTGCTGTGAGGCAGAGGAAAGTTTTAAGTATCAAGATTCATTTTCAAAAAGCTGCCTTATGTTTGATGATTGATTGGTTAAAATTTGTATATTTCCACCATTTTTATATTTCCTTTTAAAGGAATAATTGTGCATTTATAATTCATTGCATTTATTGTATCTGATCAATTTCTTTTTTTTTTTTTTAAGAGAGAGGGGAATAAAGTTGTTACTTTTAAAGACGGGAGGAAAATAAAAATGGGGACCCTGATGGAGGCACAGAGCCAGCCACAATGGAACAGATGGACAGTCCCTGTACACCTGCTGTAGAGCTTTATGCTGCTGAAAAGGTCCTGGGATCCTTAACCCAATGTCACAGTTTATGATCTGCTGAAGCAAAGCCTTTTCTCGCATACTAGCACAAGCTTGCACACTTTAAGTGCAGCCAGTATGATTGGCATGTGAAAGTGAACATTGCCATCTGTTGCTGTGGCTGCAGCGTTGAGAGGAGGCACAGTAATATCTGGCCAGACTCTATTGAACTGAGATATGTAGTATTAAATAACATTATTTCAATAGTCACGATCAATGCTGAATCATTTACTTACTGATGTATGTGATGAGAGAGGGTTTTTTGTGATATCAGACTGCAGGACAAATGGAACTTGAAAAATGCGGTCCAGTGTCAGTTTATTGTGGACAGCCTTGTTGAGGGCTTCATGGGAGTATCATGCCATGTTACATTTTTTTTTAATCAAATAAATGCAGCTTTGGTGAGCATAGGAGACTTCTTAAAAAACATTACAAAATCTTACTGACCCCAAACTTTTGAATGGTAGTGTGTATTCATCACACTTGCTGCATAGTCAAGCTACAAACGTTCAAATGCAAAATGAACTAATTTTGTGCTAATTTGATTGATTTTGTTGTTGTTTTATTCTCTGGCCCCAGAACATACCACACTTTCTAAAAATAGCCACTGAGATACATAATTTGAGTGTCCCTGCCTTACAGCATATGTGCCGCTCACATGCAGTTAAATACATAAACCCATAATACATGTCTTTATCATTTGCTTGACTGTATAATTCAGTGAAATGACATCTTACAAACAGCAACAGAAAAGCATGGCAAATAGTTGTCTATTCATCTGTTACCAAAATACATTGTTTCATTCAGGTGCAAAGAACTGAAAGGGAATGACTGTGATTGAGTTCAGACACAATGAAGGATGAACAAAGCATGATGATGTCTATAATTTGACTGAAGTTACATAATATTTGCAAAATCGTGCAACACGTAAAATTGACAATTTTTAAAAAATCTACTATTTGTATTTCAGTAGTGTTTTTTTCTATTTGAAGATCTGGTTGTTACTAGTTGTTTTAGTAGTTTTGTCTTTTTTGCTTCTAGAACTCAGTATATTCCCAGTTCTCTTCTTATGCTAAAGTTCACGCCTCAGTGGGTCTTTTGTGTTCAACAGCTCTTTGCTTTATGCTCAAATATATTTATTCTGATGGGTTTTTGCTTACTCTTTGTGTGTCCCAGCACTTTGTCATAAATTCCTAAATGTATCTCATGCATTAGCTAAATGGATGTTGCGTGCATTGCCCTAGTTACTGCTTTAAATTTGATTGAAGAATTCTTAAACCCTTCAGATCCTGATCTGATCTAGAAAGAGTGTAGAACCATTTCTGTTCTGATGAATGGGTTTAAATTCAAACATGTGCAAAACACAACAACAGGCATTCAGTGGGTATAATGGAGGATTGAATGCTGACATTTGAGACATTGTGCCATTATTATCCTGCTCTCTTATAATACCAGCTGGATGCCTTTGATATGATATTGAGTATTGTTCTGATACTTATAAAAGAAGAATTAAGGCTACTGATGATCAAATGAAAGTTACATGCATAACATGTTGACTGGCTGCCTCTCTTTTAAGAAAACAATTTTTTTTAAAGGCATACTCCACCCAAAAATGAAAAGTCTCTACTCATTTACTCACCCTCATGCTCTCCAAGATGCATGAATTTCTTTCTTCAGATGAACACAAGTACACAATCCTCTTAACTGGTTTATTGTATCCATTTTATTATAATTGATTTATAACCCTACCGTTTACCTCCTCAGGTATGTTAACACCAGTGCAACGGAGTTTCTATGACCCCACCTCAGCACCAGGCCAAGGTTGGATATGGGAGTGGGAAAATGACGCAGGTTCCTGGACGACCTATGACATGGAGGTTATCGTTGCCTTGCAAGCGGCATGGGACCGACAGCAACCCTGGCTGGACCTGACATCGATTGGCTTTTGCTACTTTGTGAACTTCCAGACCATGACCCAGATTAACAGGCAAACACAGAGGCAGAGGCGCATGCAGAGACGCTCCGATAGGGTTTACCCACTGGTCTCTGGGCCACTGCCTAAAACCTCACAGGCTCGGGGTACAGGCTCAGGAACTGGAGGCATGACTAGAGGAGTTACATCACGTGGGGGCTCAACCGGGGCACTTCTTGGGGTTGGTATTTCTGGTTCTACTTTGAGTAGAAAAGGAAGTGCGGTTTACCCAAGCGGGACACTTTCGATATCATCTCTCACTCCTCCTGGACAGCCATGTTACTGTCAGCAGTGCATGCTGGTGTTGAGTGTAAAGTCAAATGGCACTTCATCACAGACACTGGGACGTGCAACAAAGCCAAACAGTCCTAAATTCAGCTTTGGGACACTTCCATCCTCCTCTGCATCCATGTCTGTTTTAAACTCGTATTCTCATACACTACCACAGGGCACATCTTTAAAATGCTCTCTCTCGGAAGAAGCCAAGAATTCTGCTTTTGATCAGTCATTGTCCCTTCTCACGTCGGATACTGCCAATCTCTCAATCTCCTCTAGCCGTTCATCACCTCTAACTCTGCCATCGCCGAATCAGCAGCCTTCATCCGCCCCAAGCTCTTCGTCTTCAGCAACATTTGTGGCTACTGCTATGCTTATTAACACATCAACCAGTCCCACATCATCCACAGATTTGACGTCATCTTCAACAACGTTGCCCTCTCAACGCTCCGCTGCCTGTGCTGCCCCTCTACCAACTCGTGCCAGTCTGACAGGGCTTAGTCGGCCTGCTTTGCACAGAATTGCCATGGCACAGTCACGGGCCCTTATTGCCTCTGGGTGAGAAAACAATCTTTTTCTTTCAATTTCCCCCAGTATACATTATAGTTCATGTCGTTATAATATACAATATCGTTCAAAAGTTTGGGGTCAAATTCCATTTTAAAATATATTTAAATACAATTTAATATACATTTTTCTAATAATATTTCACAATATTTTAGTTTTTACTGTATTCTGATCCCAAGCTTTTAAACTGTAGTGTATATTTATTACATTATAAGGTTATACAATATTAATATACCAATGTTATATTTGCATATAATATTATATATTATTTGGACACTTAATGTGGTGTATGAATGTCACTGCATTAGATAACAAAATATAAAATGTGGGTGGTATTTATTTTAAAGAAAGATACAAGCACAGTTTACAAGAAAAACATTGGGTTTAATAATAATAATTATTAATAAAATAATAAATAAACCGTTCATAATTAACAAATTGAGCACTTTTTGGATGCTATCGACATGTTCTACTGACAACCAGAGTCCAGACAATGACCAAAGAATATTAACCTGTGGTTACTCTGCTCAGAAACATTTGTGAACTTCGGGAAACAGACTTTGTCGACTAAAATCACCGGCATATATAGTATAGTGTTAATAGGTGTGAGTTCAACTCATGTATTAGTGTGTTCTTGTATTTTACCCTCCTCTGTGTGGGAGTGTGTTTCTCACACCGCTAAATCATCCATGTCTGCTCTGTTTGATGACCATCTGGGGACAGAATGGTCTTATTCATTCCCTCCCCACCCCCTTTATGTATATAGCTGTTTCTCTGGCTTTTCCCGTGGCTCTCAGTGGTGATTTCATGTTCACGCTGGGTTTCTGCAGCAACCTTTGTTGACATGACATGGGCTGGTCTGCATTAGCAACACAATGCTGTCTCACTGAAGCATTTGACATAGTAGAGTGTGTGTACATGTCTACGTTAAGAAGGATTTGGGGTAACGAGCAAAAGGTTTTGACATTGACTGTTGTAACAATTGTGTCCCAGTGTTTTCTTGAAGCATTAGACATGACATTTTCTTGATGGGGGTTTGGGATGAAGCTTGAGTGGATTGAAGCTAGAACTGAAGTATTTTTACTCTTTTGTGGCTAATTTTGATGTTACAGAGTATGTACTGCTAAAGACAGCGGATCGATATATTAATCAATAAAAATTTGACCTAGGCTAGATTATAAAACAAATAAAACTATCATCTAACACTGGTGTTACATACATGTGTGAGTGTGTGCTTTCAAATGCAGGAGAACACTGCGAGTCTGCTCTTTCTAAAGTACCTCCTGTTTTAGACATAAAGCCATCTGGAGGCATAGTGCAGCAGTTGTTGAGCATGTGTGTGAAAGAAAACAAAGAGACAAGTCTGTTGTAAAGCAAGATCAATGGTCAGTGAAGGTCAAAAGCTTCCCCATTGGCTTTTCCCAAACAGCCATCTACCCTCCAATGTCAGGCACTTCTGTTATTTCAATGGAAAACAAAACAGGCATATAAATAACAACTACTTCTGCAGTATTTATGATTGGCTAAAATGCATTTTAGCCAATCATAATCTGTTGATCTGTCATAATTTTAAGCAAACATGCAACATGTCCTTCTTTTACCACTTAACCACTTCAGCATATTTGCTTCAGTTTTCACTTTCGTGTGAATAACATCATGTTGCAAATAAAGTGTGCTGCCAACAGAACGTCTGTTCAAGAGAGAGAAAAACATGTGGCAGTAAACAAATTATTTATCAGTGTCAAAAACCGGTTTCTATTCTCATTTGTAGTGGCATTTTTCATTTATATCATTATGAAATTGTTGATTTCCGATTCACCTGTCCCTAAATGACACATCACAGCTCTTTTTTTTTTTTCTCTGTCAACCTTTGTTGGCATCAGCAAAGTATTGTTATTTGAGTTTCGGAAGGAAAAGAGCATGACAATGAAGAAATTTAACCATAAACGGAGGCATTGCTATTTAGGTCAGCTGCTATGTACCTGTTGACAATAAAATGTCTAAATAGACTGTTACACTTGAAATTTAGCATTTAAAATATAATTCCAAATAATGCATTTTACATTTCTATGCACAGGCAAATAAGAGTTTTGTTTAGAATATGCTTTTAGATAAACTCTTACCTGTAGATCTCTTGATTCTCCTTGATTTCTTTTAAATTGATGACTGTTCATTGTGAAGTGAAATCTGATTCGTTACCTGATAACTTAGTAGTGAACATTGACTGTTAATCTCAAAATATTCGACGTTTTCTGAGCGCAGACTTTTAAAGCCATGCATGTGTGCATTTTAAAGTATATATATATATATATATATATATATACAGTATATATATATATATATATATATATATATATATTATAATCGTAAGACCCATGAACATCATAATGTAATTGTCTGTGGCCTTTATTAAATGTATGTTCTGTAACTGTAAATGAATTGTTGAGGTTAGTCACCAACCATCTGGAAAATAAAGTATAATACTTAATATCCGACAGCAAGATCAGTATATGCATGACATGCAGACTCAGCAACAGCTGCTACATTCATACACATTTTTCTAAATGTATTTATGTATAGAAAATTTTTTAAGACTAGCAGCTAACAGACTGCAGTAAAACGAGATAAGAAAATAAGTGTGAGAAAACACAGCAGACAAGACCATTAAGGGTGTAAAGAGGGAAGTAAAAGAACTGTACATTAGAGTTGCTTTCTGTGGGTTTTTCTTTTTCTTTTTTTCGACAAGAAAACTTGCTGTGAGATGCGTTTGTCATTTTGTTCTTCAGTTTTCACACTGATTTGTCCAAAAATGTGCTTATATAATGGTAAATAGTCATTTGATACTTAGCCAAAAGTGTCAAAATGCACTTTCAGTTAAGTATCATATAACTGTCTGTTGATGTTGGAGGCAAAACAATGGTTTATGTGCACGTTAGTCGTTAAACAAGAACTACATGTTGAACTCTAAAAAAAATTCAATATAGGTTGCTGAGAAAATTCTTGGTAATGAAGAAATTGGTAGAATATCTGTGTCTTAGTTTTATGCAACATTTATTATGATATCTATAGAAATTTAGTCAAATTCATCTTTAACTTTATTTTGTGTTTTCTCTTATGGCCAATGAAATTCACTCAGAATACGAGTGTGGGGAATTTTTTTTTATTTTATTTTTTTATGTAGGGTGGCACCCAATAAGGCAATACTGCCCCCTTAAATATCACTTAAATATTTTTTTGGTGATGTAGGAGAACATTCAGCAAGACAGCAGCCAGTTTGTCCATTGACCTTATAGAGCTTTTTTTTCCCGCCTAGGGTACCAACAGTACCAGTGAAGAATCTCAATGACTCCAGCCCTGTCCATCCGGCTTTAGCTGGTAGGAAAATAAGACACATTCCTAATACATTTTCAGAAATGATAAGCTAACTGTACATTACATATTCTAGTTTATACATTGTAATTTGTTAATACATATGTATTATGATGCACTGCAGGTATTACAGGTATTCTGATGAGTGCAGCAGGACTACCTGTATGTTTGACTCGTCCACCAAAACTAGTTCTGCATCCCCCACCTGTCGGCAAGAGTGACATCAGACCAATTCCTGGCATTGGGCACTGTTGCCGCAAGACCACCAAGAAACAAGCACGCAAAGGTAAGAATTCATGGGTATTTGTACTTCTAGACAAATTCACAGATAAATACATTGTACTGCAGTGTTGCTGCATAATTTTGTTTCTGAAAGTTGCTACTGAGGAAGTGATGACTAAAGTCCTTAAGTAAGGTTGCACTTTATCAATTTATGGCAAAATATATTGTGGTGAGTCATAAATAAAGTCATAAAAACACAGAAACATAAATGCAGCAGCCACCAATCACTACCAGCTGTCGCCATCGATGGCCATTCAACGGGTTTATATACACACCAAATGAAATTTGAATGAAATTTGAAATATAACATAAGTGATTTATTTTCCAGGTAGAACACCTGAGGAAGTGGTAAAAAGGTACTTACAGAAGGTCAGGAATTCACCAGAAGAAGTAAGACATCATTGTTACTTTAAAATAAGTGTTAAGATAAGTGTTTTTTAAATTTTTATTAAAATAATTATAATTTTATTGTGCAAAATATTTCTACAGTATTTTTAATTCAAATTGATATAAAATTGAAGAACACTTTACAGGTTTCATAATTTTCAATATTACCAGATAACAAATTAATAACTCAAATTAATTAACAAATTATACAACTACTGTAAGTCGATCCAACCTTACCCAGATACATACAGTACACTCAAAACGGTATGTACTGTATTGCAAGCTTGACTGTTGTGTTGTTGAAAAATTTCGAAAATATTAGCGCTCAGTAATGTATAGTGCATCCTACTTTACCTGCATACATAGAGTATAAGCAATATGTACTATATAGAATCTCGGCTACGTGATTGTTTCTGTTGTCGCAAATTTGTAAACTGTGTTATCATGCATCTCTATATAAGTTGGATACAACTTTATCTGCGTACACTCACATTAAGCGAACTGTACTGTATAGCAAATCTAAACTGCCTGATTTTATTTCATCACAAAATGTAATTGTATATCATTCTGCTCTTTATATAAAATTGGATATAGAAATGTCTGCATACATAAAGTACACTTGCATAGGGTGATATATAGTATTTAGTAAATCTCAACTGCTTGATTGCTTGTGCTGTCGCAAAATGTAAGCTTTATTATCATCCAGCTCTAATTTGCTAAATGCATGAAGATATTAAAACTTTATAAACATTAACATCATGATTTTCTATGAAGCTTTGAAACAATGTGTATTATGAAAAGCGCTATACAAATAAAACAGACTTGACTTGATGAGAGCCAGCTAAAATAGGTTGCAGTATATGTCAACCTCAAAAACCTTTAACAAACTATCCAAGGTAAATAAAAAAAAAATTAGATATGGGTTTATATGTAACCAGTATTAAAAAATTTGCGCTGACTACAATGTCTTTTGTATGGTAATTTATTGGCTGCCAAAACCATTAAAATTCAAGAGACATTTAGAGACAAAACACTAAAATTAAAAAGACAAGACATTCTGGCCATAGTATCACTGGTTAGATCAGGTGTAAATGTTGCATCTTATTGACTATGATGTAAAAAAAAAAAAAAAAACATTTCTTAACACTTTATATCTACGTGATAGCTAGATTTTTTTTGTGTGGGTAGTTTGTGTTATATCAGTAGTTTCTGTATTTAATTTCAGGATTGTACTATCTGTATGGAGGCTCTGGGGGGACCCTCAGCGTATAAGGGTCCAGGTGTTGCAAGTGTTTCACGTGCAGCGTCCGTTGGACGACTGGCACAATGTGGGCATCTTTATCACCTGCAGTGCCTAGTGGCCATGTACAACAATGGCAACAAAGATGGCAGCCTGCAGTGTCCCACATGCAAGACAATATATGGAGTAAAGACAGGCAACCAGTCGCCTGGTAAAATGGAGTACCATGTCATCCCGCACTCACTTCCAGGACACCCAGACTGCAAAACCATTCGCATCATCTACAACATACCGCCTGGGATACAGGTATAACTATATCATATGGTATATAAAGCTATGTTCTATAAAAAACAGTCAGATTGTAGTCCATTTTCAGTGCATCTTGGTTGTGTTTACACTTGGACTCCACACAATCATTATTATATTTAATAGAAAATCTCCTCTCCTATCCTATCTCTCCCAAGGGTCCTGAGCATCCAAATCCGGGGACGCCTTTTACTGCAAGAGGATTTCCCCGTCACTGCTATCTCCCAGACAATGAAAAAGGACGCAAGGTAAGTCCTCTCATCATACAGTACGTGTTCAAAACTACTGTTCCCAATTTTGGGGTTGGTTTTTGTTTTTTAAATCTCTTATGCTCATCCAGGCTTTATTTATTTGATCAAAAATATAGTAAAATCTGTAATATTGTGAAATATTATTGGATTTTTTTTCTCTGTGCTGGCACAGCTGAATTTTCAGCAGCCATTATTCTAGTCTTTTAAATTATTCAAATATGTAACCCTGGTCCACAAAACCATACATCATCTGAAAGCTGAATAAATATGCTTTCCATTGATGTATGATAGGATAGGACAATATTTGGCCGAAATACAACTATTTGAAAATCTGGAGTCTGAGGGTGCAAAAAAATCAAAATAGAAAAAAAAAAAGGTTAAAAAGTTTTGATATATTTACGGTAGGAAATTTTTCAAAATATCTTCATGGACATTTACAGTAGCAAAATATCTTTATGGAACATGATCTTTACTTAATATCCTAATGATTTTTGGCATAAAAGAAAAATCAGTAATTTCGACCCATACCATGTATTTTTTTGCCTATTGCTAAAAATATACCCAAGCCACTTAAGACTGGTTTTGTGGTCCAGGGTCACATATGCCGTTTTGATGCTCAAAAAACTTGTCTTATTATTATCAATGTTGAAAACAGTTGTGCTGCTTAATAATTTTTTGGAAACCATGATATTTTTTTCTTTGATTTATAGAAAGTTCAAAGAACAGCATTTGTTTGAAATATAATTTTTTTGTGACAATGTAAGTGTTTGTCACTTTTGTTCAATTTAATGCATACTTGCTTAATAAAATAATAATAAGATTTTTTTTTTAAAAAAGTATTGACTCGACTTTTGAATAGTCATGCATTTTTCTGTTGTTTTACATCAGTGAATCATTTGGAAGGATTGTTTTGTTTCTTTGGCCACTATACACTTCTGTCTCTGAGGTTAAACTTCAGGTATATTTACATCAGAGTATTGCAAAGTTGTATTGCTGTTGAAACGTGTCAGCACATCTATTCAACAAATGTACCAAAGAGGGTATGAGAACACATTTAGATTGAATGTATTTGTAATTATTATTATTCTTTTAATGATATAATAATTGAAAATATTCTTTTCAATATATTGTCTGGTTTTTAGGTGTTAAGGATGTTATTGGTGGCATGGGATCGACGGCTGATCTTCTCAGTGGGCACCTCCAGCACCACAGGAGAATCAGACACTGTCATCTGGAATGAGATCCATCATAAGACAGAATTTGGCTCCAATCTTACTGCACATGGCTATCCAGATTATGGCTATATTGATAATGTACTGAAGGAGCTTAAAGCCCAGGGCATCACTGAAGACGAGGAACAGCAACTGTGAAGAGGACGGGATGTGCTCGATGGCAGTGAAAGAAAAATAACTGTACTAGATGTTCTAGGAGTGCATTTGAACTCATAAATGTATGAGGATTCATATGAAAATTATAACTCTGATGAAAACAATGTGACCAATTGGTACAAATAACTATGTAAATGAGGTACAAGTCAGCAAGTATCCTAATTTCGATACAAATTTGGGGATGAAGTAACAACTAACATGAGAATGATATTTGGTTAAAGGTGAAAGATAGGTTTGAAAGAAAAAGAAAAGAAAGAAACGTATGAAAAGCAAGAATGGGAGGTGGAGGGGACTCGAAAAATGAGGGAATAGAAAGACTAAGAAAATGCAGGTTATGGAAGCAGCTGACGTGTTTTATCTGCTTAAGCGATGTTGCGGTGTAAGTTGTGTAAAACAGTTGTAAGTGTGGTTGTATTTAGTCAACTCTGGTACCTCTAACTGGATTGCTTGCTCTCAATCTGTTTACTAGAACTGAAAAATATAGATTAGCGCATATGAATGCTTGTATTATAATTTGTATTATCATACACCCTCATTCCATGTATTGAGAACTTGTACTATTTTTGTACGGATGATAATGTGTACATACGATTCAGAGTTTTGATTAATCAAAAAATGTTAATATCAACTTGATTTTAAAATGAAAATCACTTTTATGGAGAAACTGAATTAATTTATGCTGGTTTATATGAAGCATACGAAAACCAACTAATTGTTCTTCCTCAGATGAGATGTCTCTAATGCGTCTAATAGTTACAGATTATAAAATATCACATTTTCACGGTACAGGAAACCAATTTTGTGGTTTAAGCTAAGAAGTGCTGCTTTACTCCACATTCAGCATTAAATATGTTCAGCTTTAATACAGAAGAAAGCTATGAGCAAATGTAGCTAGATAGATGGGTAGTTTAATGATCCCTAAGGGTCAGTTTAGTAATAGTTTGCCAAAATGAATTTTGCATACTCAAGGATTCATTTTGCATAAAATATGAAATAGCTCTTTTTAACTGTTCTTCACTGTCCTTATAACCTGTTTTAGGCCAGTCTGTATGTTAGGTCAATTATTGACCTGTTTTATAATGATCCACTTGTAAGAATGTGCCATTGTTTGGTATGTGTGCATGTGTGAGCCCATGCATCATGTCTATGTTTGCATTTGTGCTTAATTAAATGTAAGAGTGTATGCTATGCATCCACAACACAGAGGTACGGTGTTACTCATCTGCATAATTTTCTTCATGCATTTCTGATTGTATTTCTCTTTTATATTAATGTTTTCTTCTAAAAAACAGTTTTGAAGTCGACCAACTGCATTATGTTGAGTTTTGTAATGTAAATTTTGCATTTTTTTTTAGGGGAAAAAAACTGACAAATAGAGAATCAAGCATGATAATTCCTGCACATGAAAATGAAAAATGACAAAAAAAAAGAGAGAATCGAATGCTTTTGCCTTTATCGTATCTCCATTCATTTTTCATAAAATACTGTAGGCCATTTTGTTATGGTAATCTGTAGATTTTATGCATAATGAAAGATCAAGATAAAGTGCATACAGAAAATAATTGAATCCATTTTTCTTTTGTCTTTTAAATAAATTGAAGATGCTGCAGCTGTTGTTCCCTATCAATACTTCACTCGTACTGCGTCTGCTTAAGACGCTATGGGGAAAACTAGTTTTTCTCAGAATACTGAAGCCTTTCAATAACGCAGTGTAACTGCACGGCCATTGGTTCGTGCAGTCTATTAAAAACGAACCAATGGCTCGGCAGCGGAGCTGCACGAGCCTATGGCGACAAAGCTCGTTAGAATGGGCGGGGCATCTGGCTATATAAGCGGGCACTTTGCCATAGGATCCTCAGATTTCTTCTCCTTCAGCGACGAAGATGTTCTTCGCTGATCTACGAGACTCGAAAGCCTCTCGCCGTAGAATCGCCTTCGCAGCGGATCAAGCTGAACTAGCGACCCTCTGCTCGGCTGATTTGCCGCTTCTACGCTGCCTTCAGCGTCGCAGCAGCAGCGGTCCCATCTGATCCACTGCCACCATCCGGCGAGCCTAAAAGAGCTTATTTCTAAGAGGTAAGTTCTAAAAGAGCAAAATTTCTAGTGACATTGCAAATGTCGCGCTGTGAGTGTGGCTCGTTTAGGGAATCTTGCATGATGCAGAAGGGCAGTGAGTGTGTCGCCTGTCTGGGCAGCCCCTTTTCGTTTGCCTTCACTGTATGCTCTTGGCCCCCACTGGGTTTCGAGGCTGTACAATTGATCTTGGAACGATTACTCGGCGTCGGGCTGACCTCTGCGAGTTTGGCCCTATTGCCTCCTGCTGGGCTTCCCTGCAAAATACTTGGTCCCTCTGGGCCCCATTGGTGCTCAAGGCAAGTTCAAGTATTAGTTAATCTACGGCAGGATTGTACTGGTTCCCCATAGCGTCTTAAGCAGATGCAGTACGAGTTAAGTATCGATAGGGAACGTACTCGGTTACTAATGTAACCTCGGTTCCCTGAGATATGGGAACGAGTACTGCGTTGCTGGCCTTGCTATGTAGCTGCACGACCCAGTCGTCGCTTCAGTCGAAGTAACCTGAGGACCTTATGGCGAAGTGCCCGCTTATATTGCCAGATGCCCTGCCCATTCTGGCGGGCTTTGTCGCCATAGGCTCGTGCAGCTCTGCTGCTGAGCTATTGGTTAGTTTTTAATACACTGCACGAACCAATGGCCGTGCAGTTACACTGCGTTATTGAAAGGCTTCAGTATTCGGAGAAAAATGAGTTTTCCCCATAGCATCTTAAGTAGATGCAGTACTCGTTCTCGTATCTCAGGGAACCAAGGTTACGTTAGTAACTATGTTTATGTTGCAGCCTTTTGTTAAAATGCTTTAAATATTCTTTCACATCAATTTACACTTCATACCCCATAATGACCAGATCTGTGATGAGTTTGCATTTAAGAAAAATATGTATTTAAATTAAAAAGTAAATAAATAAAAAAATTAAATATACACTGAACAAAATTATAAACGCAACACTTTTGTTTTTGCCCCCATTTTTCATGAGCTGAACTCAAAGATCTAAGACTTTTTCTATGTACACAAAAGGCCTATTTCTCTCAAATATTGTTCACAAAT